TACTGACCTAAAATTTTACAAATATAATTAGAATTTGCATTTGGTCCTGATAAACCTAGCCCTTTGCAAGACAGRTCAGACTAAACATCGTCAAGTCTCGACAAGTCACTTCTGAAAATATCGGAAGTCACTGTGACGTAGGGTCACTCTTACGATTCTGAGGACCTCTACAGYGGCGATCTYYACATTGAAGAAATAATGGAAAAACCAGCTCAGAAACGATCTCGATGCATCGTTCATGCAATTCACATTCTACACCTGTGTTTGTCTTTAGGACTCATTATCGCAGTAATTCACAATCAAGTTGTCAATAATTCAAGGTTTCAAAAACTCGAGGCTAGGTGTGCATGCGTAGGAAAACCGTCTAGCCGTACTGTWGTCAACAGTACAAAGCCCAACGATGGCCGGTACTACTTACAGGCAACGAACAATAAGCCAATAACAAGGMGAARSCTGCAGAAGGAGAAGTCCAATGTTCAGACAGACGATCAGGCGAGGAAAAACAGTTTGTACGGAAATGAAACATTTTCCCCTGCGATAGCTAATGAAACAGATGTGCCTAACAAGGTATATGCAGAAAGCTAATTCTAAAAAATAAACCTCATTTATTATTGCAGAAGCGTATCGATCATGTCTTCGCCTTATTCCCCGGTTTCCCTTATGTTTATAATAATTAGGATTCAAATTGCAACAAACTCCTGAAATTGGYGCCATTGACTCAAAAATATGTGAAGAAACAAATGCGATTAAAATAGTTTGTTTATATGAAAAGAACTGACTGAAGCCTGGAACGTTATCCTTTATATGTTGATCTTTCCTAGGCCTGGCAGACGTTGAAATCAGATGCGCATAAAATGGCTGACCTGGTTTCSTGTGCAAAAAAAATGAAGGACATCATCGATGTAAGCATTGTAGCTGATTTCATGTGTTGTTAACACGTAAATACTTACTGCACGCATATTTGCTAGTTTTATATATGAAATTATATTTCTCTCTTTGGAAAGCTTGTAGTTTCACTAATGAAAATAACACATTCGAGGTTTCTCTATGTATTTGAAGTAAAATGGTATTTTACGACATAATTTCCATTAATATAATAAACAAAATATTACATGGTCGCTTGGAGAGGATTTTATTTTCTCGTGTTGAAATCTCACACTCGTTCGCTCGCTAGCCCTCTTGTGAAATATCTTTTCAACAGTCGAAGATAAGATCCGTATCTCCSCGCGGACCTGTAATATCCTCTATAAATTCATTTTAAAGACAACTATTCCGTTCACTAACGATAATAGTTATTTGATCAGTAATAATAAAAGTGTAGATTAAAATAGGGTAGAAGTAGAAGAGGTATAAGTAGAAGAGTTAGCTTTTTTTAGGAACAATCAAGCGKCTTTATATGAGGAATCGACAAAAAGGCCTTAGAAATGTATAAAACAGAGTTTCAAGWAGTCAAATCGAGCAATCTGTGCAAGCTTTTYTGTTTGTTTTTGGAACCACACGCGRTAAGACCRRTGTTTAGAACAAAAGTGTGTCATTCATGAGAGGGTCTTCAAGGTCATTGTTTTGATATGACAAGACAAAGATTAGCCTAATTTAAGAACGCGGTTCGTATAATTGAAATATCGATTATTTTATGTCTGATACAATGATGAGTAAAATAAGAGAGCGTCTATGGACAGTGGATRTTTCTTTAATCCACAAGCAATCGCCATTCATAGAAAAAATATTTAAATAGGCTACTATATTTTTTTGTTAGTTCCAACCAATTAATGCGCGCGTTGTATAATAGTTATTCTATGAATGATTTGAGGG